TAAGGGTTATCTACCTTGGGCATAAAAAAGCGTCTTAGTATATGAAAATAACTGCTAGAACCATCTGCTTTGCGCTAACTAAACAAATGTCTTTAGTTTGGATCAATATATTTTGCTTTGGAAGACTGTTCTACCTTCACAATAAATTAAGACTAAGCATGAAATTATGCCAACCGTTCAATGTGAACAAATACAAATAGTTGATTTTCTTTGCTACATTAATTAAAAATAAGAGAAAATTAAAAAATTTCAATTATCTTCATTTTACTCTCTCTCTCTCTCTCTCTCTCTCTCTCTCTCTCTCTCTCTCTCTCTCTCTTTATATATATATATATATATATATATATATATATATATATATATATATATATATATGTTTGATTCTCTGTATGTATATACGTCTTCCGATTAGAAAATAAGTGAAAGAATACACTATCGTCTGAAAACAATAAATAAAGTAGTATTTGGATAAATAGCTTGGGACTGTTCCCTGTTTTTCAGTTAAACGGAATCCAACCATATTCAAACTAAACTAACTAAACATTTGCATGCCAGACTCGACCCATACCAGATGCAATGTCATATGGCATAATGTGATCCAATAGGTCTATTAGAGGAAAAGATGAGCTGGAACAAATGTAAAAAGCTTTTCCAGTCTAAGTTATTAAATTCGCGAACCACCATAACGTTCCTGTCCACTGAAACACGATTAGGACGAACAATGGTACAACTGAGTGGTAAAATATTTTCCTGTAGCATATTGCCCGACTCGTCCAGGATGCTAATTTTGCTTTCCGCTTCAAAGCAAAGAAAAAGCAAACCTTTATCTGCACTTATACTCGAAACACAACGCGTAATTGGACGGGTCCATAAAATGTCACCAGACTTTTTTATGCAGACGATAGCAGATTCTGCGCCAATGATTAGTCTCTTTCCGTCCGACGTTGACGCCATGGCATTCGGTCCCCTGACCATTTGTTTCGTGCTACTGCTGATAATGGTTTTTACCTTGGTAGGGCGAATTTTCTGTGCATTCAGTGGAATGAAATTACTATGCGGATTATACTCATGCTTGATGGTTATTAGGTCAATACAATCGACCATTAAGTCAGTGGTGTGGGTCAGCGAAAACTGATCTTGATATGTGATCCGTCCAAACCTGTCTTCCAGCGCGGATGTACGCATGTGACAAATGGCTGAGTATGGTTTATCCGTTTCTATCCGATACAATATGCTCAACGTTGGCGCTGTGGACACAACTGTCAGAAATCGAATATTGTGGTTAACAATAACATTGGAGGACTCTTTAATGGCGCACAATCTCCAAGGACATTTTAATGCTATCCCCTGCACAAATTCATTTTCAAGAGTAAATTTCTGGATCGTACTTTCATTTATCATGATGATGTGCGAGTTAGAAATGACAAGATCACTGCATGACAGCTCAAAAGATGTTAACTGTTCAAGTCCTTTCAAATGCTGTTGAAGATCAGTGACCTGTTTCGATGTGTCGCGAATGGTCAAATCACCACTTACCACACGAGAAGAATTTCTATTCTTATTGGGTGAAGTCAAAATCGAATTGGCCACTGACTTTCGTACTGTCTTTAATGTTGGGGAAATAGCGTGCTGAACACCAGTTCCTTGAGTAATTGGTCGAGAAGTATCTTTACTGATGGATCCGGAAGATCTCTGACTTTGTTCGTCCTTTTTTATAGACTTCGACGAGGGACGTGAACGTTTTGGACTTACTGATCCATCTTTAATAGTGGATGTCCTCACCTTTGTATCAGCTTTTATATATGTCAACCGACGAGGTGATACGGATGAATATGTACGATCGTCCCTTTTGATAAAGACAGGAAGCTGTTCAAAGGCAATGAAGTTGATAAATTGGTCATTTACTTCTAAAGAGATTGGAAAAGGTCTCAGTTCTATCGCATTTAGAGAATGTTCGAAATTGTTGACCTCTTTTTCCAATGGTGTCCACAAAGATAAAATATCCCCAGTTCCATCATACGAGTCATTCGACTTTGTTCGAAGCGCATCTTCAACATGACTTCTCGTTTTAGCAACAAGCGTCTTTGTTGTTGTAAGATGCTCCAACTCGGAAGCAGGCATTTTTGTTGCCTCAGCAACCTCTTGTTTGGCCTCTTTCAGTTTTGCTTTCACCGCTTTGCTAAATCGAGTGAACTGCTTTTCCACTTCTACAATTTGTCTATTCAGTTCTTCTGCATGCACATTGGTTAGTTTAGAATCCAAAATCCTCCGAATTCTTTCTTCTTGTTGATTTAGCTGTCCAAGAAGTTCTTTTATTTGAAGTTTTACCTCCATCAGGGAGTCTTGAATTGTTCCACACGAACATGGATCCTTTGTATGATTTTCAATTACACAATCTGCGCATAGAATTTCCCTGTGATGAAAGCAGAAATACTCTTTGAATTTCCCAATATGCATGCTGCACATAGTTGTACGCTGGTACTGCTCTATTGTATGAAGCTGGAGAACACTAAAGGCGTCCACTGGAAATTCTCGAGACCAGTTTTCCGGTACATCAGGAATGTGATGTTTGGTTCTACATACTGGACAATCAAAAATTCCATCCACTCTGTCAGTGAGAGCAATTTTGATAACACGATCTAAACATTCCGAACAGAATGAATGATCACAGGAAAGTTTCCTTGGATCTTTCAAATGTCCAAGGTGGATCGGACAACGGAAATGTTCCGCTATATTTTTCACATTCCTTATCGACTGTGACATTTTGAAGTATGAACCAAACACTATTCAAAACACTTGACAAATTCCTTATACTTGATTCTGCTTAATGTATTTAAGAGATTCCACCGTAAAATGTATACATCAAGTTCCCATTATGAACAGAATCGCCTCTAAATTTAACATACTTGTGTTAGTACTGGAGGTTTTCTGAAACAGTTTACTGATTGCGATTCAATTAAATACGTTTCCAACTGAGTTTTTCGCCTTCCCATGTAAACAGCTTACATAGAAACAACAAAGCTCGTCTTCATTTTAGAACTGGACTGAAATTATATGATATGACGGCATGTAATTGTATATACATGTATAACCTTTCCCATGGCTCTGCAGGTAAACAAACAGCATTTGTGTGAATCATTCAGACGTTATCGGTACTAATCAGTCTTTGTTCTATGGCATTCATTAGCTTCTCTTTCTGTCTGGTAACTGACCATGACAAAACATTGTCTATATTCACTCCATAATGGCGTCGAGTGAAAGCAATCCTTTGGTATTTATTTACTTAGCCTACCTGCTATGAAATTTTTAGGAAGGGGGGGGCGGGGACAAACCACACTGAATCTTGGAGGGAGGGCGAGTAAACCACAGAATCTCCGGCGTACTGTATAGATCTCAGATCCCACGATTTACTGCCTAGATCACAGGTGTTCCACTGTATTGACTAGCTCAGTGGAACATACTGAATAGATCATAAGGAACCCAATGTAATGCCTCTGTTATACGGTCCCATGTACTACCTAGATCACACAGCCCTCTATGTACCATCCAAACCTCACGACCCCAAATGTACGGCATAGATCACATGGACCCCTATGTACCATCCAAACCTCACGACCCCAAATGTACGGCCTAGATCACACAGCCCTCTATGTACCATCCAAACCTCACTACCCCAAATGTACGGCCTAGATCACACAGCTCTCCTCTATGTACCATCCAAACCTCACGACCCCAAATGTACGGCATAGATCACATGGACCCCTATATACCATTCAAACCTCACGACCGAAAATGTACGGCCTAGATCACACAGCCCTCTATGTACCATCCAAACCTCACGACCCCAAATGTACGGCCTAGATCACACGGACTTTTATGTACAATCCAAACCTCACGACCCAAAATGTACGGCCTAGATCACACGGACCACTATGTACCATCCAAACGACCCCAAATGTACGGCCTAGATCACACAGACCCCTATGTACCATTCAAACCTCACGACCCAAAATGTACGGCCTAGATTACACGGACCCCTATGTATCATCCAAACCTCACGACCCCAAATGTACGGCCTAGAGCACACAGACCCCTATGTACCATCCAAACCTCACGACCCCAGATGTACGGCCTAGATCACACGGACACCGATGTATTGCTAGGATCACAGATCCATATGTATATCACAAGGACCCCATGTACTGCCTAGATCACACACACACACAAGCACACACACACACACACACACACACACACACACACACACACACAAGTGCGCACCCTCCAGGAATTTTGTTTTCTATGACAGAAGGGTTCAGGTGTGACAAAGAAAAAAAAAAATCAAACATATTAAAATATGTTAGTGCACAAATAAACCATCATCATCATCATCATCGTCGTCGTCGTCACCATCATCATTGTCATCGTCTTCATCGTCATTATATTAAAACGTTTTAAATTTTCGTCCCAAAAAAATGGGTACCAAAACAAAACTTACGTTATTAATATTTTGTCATTTAAATATAAATTCATTAGAAAGGAAAATATTAAATTTGCAGTATAACATTAACTTATTAAATTTAAATATCACAAAAATCCCACTTGGCATGTATGCAGTGTATAAATTAAGTTGGTGTATTACAAGATAATTAGTATAAATTAAGTAATCAACATATAAATAAAATAATTCTGCCTTGCGATTTTTCTAATCTTTCTATTTTATCTAGTTAATGCCAATCGTTTTCATGAACAGTTACTTACCTGAATATTGTATGCTATCCGGTCTGCATGTAACTTTTGTCAAGACTGTCCCATCTCTTTCTCTGCTTAAAGGGACTAGCATTTTATGATTCCATAAGTAAACTTAGGAATCATTGTCTAAGTGAAAATGTTCTCTCTCTCTCTCTCTCTCTCTCTCTCTCTCTCTCTCTCTCTCTCTCTCTCTCTCTCTCTCTCTCTCACACACACACACACACACACACACACACATTATATTAACCGCTCCGGTGGCCTAGTGGTTAGAGCGTCCGCCTCGGATGCGGAAGGGTTGTGGGTTATAACCCCGGTCGAGTCATGCCAAAGACTTACAAAATTGGTCCTAACAGCTGCCTCGCTTGACGCTCCGCATTAAGAGGTCAGTGTTAGTTAGGACTGGTTGGCCTAATGTCAGGATAATCTGACGCGACATGATGCCCCATTGCTAGACATTACTATAAACTGCCACACTGTAGACATCGTAGCGATATGACTGAAAAATTGTTAAAGCTACGTTAAAAATCATAATCACATCACATCACACATTTCATCAATTATGGGAACGGCAAAATCAATAAAGCTGTCCCTGTGTGGTATCTTCCATGTGTTTTCCTCCCAAAACGATAATGGCTGCCATGTATAACCTATTTTGTACTGAAAACGGCGTCAAACCCTACAAACCAAACTCAAGAAAGTGAATAAAGACTACTAGTGAGAAAGATGTTTCAACCGATTGATTTTAAATATAACAATTTGAACAATGTGAATATGCCAGCTATGGTCTGGGTCCATGTATGTTTACGCCATTTAATTCATTTAAGTAATTGTTCGAGAGTCAACTGGCATGCCGTGATTTTCAGAGAAGAGTTAAATCCACTGATGTCGATTAAAGTACCGTGAATCTTCATAAACTTTTAAAAAGAAATTATATGACAGAGTTGACTTCTGAAATAGATTGATGCTAGTCATGTGTATGTATATATAGACAGCCTTATCAACACAGCTTCTCGTGCAGTTTTAGGATTGCTACTGAAAGATGGACACGCCCATCACTCACTGCGAAACTCGAATACTCATTTTCTACTTATAACTGAATAATGTATATGGCACAACGCTTGAGCACAGCTAGTGTCAACTTCTGTGACGCTTCTTGCACATGTTCATCAAATGAAGATGTGCGTATTAATTAGCATGCTTCCAGATTTGATCAAGAATTATTTGTTTCAGCCTTACTGCTGGAAGATACTAGTCTTGCCGTTATTACTAATGGAGTTATTGCCCTTTAGTCTGATATTTGCAAGTCGCGAGTGGCACAGCTGTTTGCAATGGTGAAAGTACTATAGCTTATTTTATGCATGTATCCTGGCGGGCAAATCTCATTGGACTAAAGAATTTCAGAAAGGGTCATGAGCATATCTAGGTTGTTTTCAAACAATGCATTTGAAAATAGTCTGGACCGCACCAGTAGTCACTGTTGTATATAACTCATCTGCTCAAATCCAGTAATCAAACTTCTAAGTATTTCTGCTCAAATCCAGTAATCACACTTCTATGTAACTCTGCTCAAATCCAGTAATCACACTTCTATGTAACTCTGCTCAAATCCAGTAATCACAGTTCTATGTAACTTTGCTCAAATTCTTAAATCAGTGAGAGCAGTGGTGGGTAGTACCATCAGAGCCGTAAGATCACGGGCCTTGAGGTAAGGAATACCTGAGCCTCTAATAGTTCTTGCTCTAACAAAAGTTTTCTTTTATAAAATTAAAAAAGTGTTGTTCTCACCCTTCCCTATTCAGCTCTTGAGTATCCTAGGTACTTTAAAACTTATAATTCCTGTAAGCAGAAGTATTTAAAACATAATGGAATTTTAAAACGTGCACCACCTTCATTTAAAATATTGTAAATAGAACTTCATCAGGCCACAGGCCCATAAAACACAAGATCATACAGAGTACGTCCTAATCGGTATAGTAAAATACATTAGCTTGATTATGATACTTTTGACATGTATTCTCTCTTGGTTTAATTGCAAAAGTGCAAAACGTTTGAAGACTTTTTCAGAGTGAAAATACAATTTATAAATGTATTTATTGATGGGTTAATATAATAATCTGGTCGAGATATATCAGTTTTAACTTTATGAAAAATACACAAATGCACAAATCGAAACTCATCGTCTTAACTTAATGAAAAATACACATATACACAAAACGTACCCATTGTCTTAACTTTATGAGAAATACATATATAAAGAAAACGAAAACAATCGTCTAAACTCTATGAGAAATGCACATATACACAAAACGAAACTCATTGTCTTAACTTTATGACAAAATACACATATACACGAAACGAAACTCATCGTCTTAAGTTTATGAGAAATGCACATATAAACGAAACTCATCGTCTTAACTTTGAGAAATACACATATACACAAAAGAAATACACATATACGCAAAACGAAACTCATCTTCTTATCTTTATGAGAAATACACATATACACAAAACAAAACTCATTGTCTTAACTTTATGAGAAATACACATATACACAAAACGAAACTCACCTTTTACATTCTTGATATTTTCTTTAAGACTCTGATCTCTTTCAATTTTGTGCTGTTATGTAATTCGCATTGTTTGTTGACTTTTTGTTCATTATATGTTGTTATTTAATTCTCATTGTTGTTTGGCTTTTTATTAATTATATGATGTGGAAAATTATATTTTGGACTTGCTCTTGTATTGGTCTTGGATTCTAAAGCTCTTTTCTACCTAACCTGAATCATTTATTTTGATTTTGTAGACAAAATGTTTATCTCAGTCTGAGAGTAGAACGCTTGAAATCCCCCTGAAATGCCGTCTACGTGTTGTTTGCCACATTTAATATAATTTTAGTAACAGACAATCAAGCTATAAATAAGTTTTTATCTTGCAAACATTTGGAACCTTCCAGAATGAAATTTCCCATTAGGTAATATTGTTTAGGAAAATATAATTGTGACCTTGGGGTAATAAGATGAATATGCAGTCTTATTTATCTAGAAATTATGCATTCGTGCTGTAAGACCTCAGCAGAATCAACTGCATTATTTTTGTGTCCAGTATTTTGTTTAGTTTAGAATTTATTTGTTCATATTATTTAACTCAGTTGATTCGTCTCTGGAAATAAACGTGCTGAAAATAATTCTTTGAAATAGAGACTTCCATTATAGTCAAATACAAAAAAGGATATATTCTTTGAAATAGAGACTTTCATTTATAGTAAAATTTAAATAAGGATATATTCATTGAAATAGAGACTTCAATTTATAGTAAAATATAAATAAAGATATATTCTTGGTTAGTATTAATCCGGTTCAGCACACGATGGATGGCACATCGCTACGACACAAGCCTCCACATCAACACTTTCCACGTTCAATTTATTTGGGATTACCGCTAAAGTTTGTTCAGAACATCATTCATTATGACCTTTGTTTAGATATTCTAGGATTATTTGGGATTTAATTTGCAATATCGTAGGTTCTGTTTGTATATTTCTTTTTATATTCTAGGGAAATAAATAATTTGTTGAATAATACAAAACTTGTTGGTTCGCACTCTTTTTATTGCTTAGTTTGAGACAACAGAGTCTTCACAGTGTCTTTTTTTATCAATAATTAATCATGCTTAGAATATTAAAATAATGCATATCCGTTTCTGAAAATGAAAGGTAGGTCTAATGTTAAATATTTCTCAATATCCAGTAACGACTTATACTGACTGTATTAAACATTTTGTAGAATCGGCTTTTTTAAAGTCACTTGATCTCTTTTGAGTTATCAAATATATGTTGTCTGAGCAAAGTGTGAAAACTGCTTCTGTCACACATTTCTTCCTTTACAGTATCTAAAAAAAACTTTGCTATATAGTATATAATAAAACCTTGTTACACGGTACCTAAAACTTCTTGTTACATGTTATATAAAAATTCTTGTTTTACTTTTAATAAAACACTTGTTATAACTTATATAAAAAACTTTTATAGTTAAACCACGTTATGCTTTATATAAAAGACCTTTTTATACGTTGTATGAAACACCATTGTTAGATATTATACAAAAAACCTTGTTATACAATATATATATATATATATATATATATATATATATATATATATATATATATATATATATATATATATATATATATATATATATTGAACCCTTGTTAACATTATACAATAAATCCTTGTTATACACATTACAATAAACCCTTGTTATACATTATACAAAAAAAACCTTGTTATACACATTACAATAAACCCTTGTTAACATTATACAATAAATCCTTGTTATACACATTACAATAAACCCTTGTTATACATTATACAATAAATCCTTGTTAACATTATACAATAAATCCTTGTTATACACATTACAATAAACCCTTGTTATACACATTACAATAAACCCTTGTTATACATTATACAATAAATCCTTGTTACACATTATACAATAAATCCTTGTTACACATTATACAATAAATCCTTGTTACACATTATACAATAAATCCTTGTTACACATTATACAATAAATCCTTGTTACACATTATACAATAAACCTTTGTTACACATTATACAATAAATCCTTGTTACACATTATACAATAAACCGTTGTTATACATTATACAATAAACCTTTCTTGTACAATGTGCAACAAAACCTTGTTATACAATATACAATTAACCAATGTTTTAATGCAACTTGCTAATTGCATTATAGTTGATACATATCTGCATTAGCGAACCCTTTTAAATATAGATAATAAACTATTATATTAATGACTTTTTTGTGGTAAACATACGATTTGCATGGACCTCAATTAATGTACAGCAAGGACTACTGTTATCAAATAATGTATAATAAGGACTACTGTTATCAAATAATGTATAACAAGGACTACTATTATCAAATAATTTATTGCAAGGACAACTGTTAGCAAATAATTTACAGCAAAGACAACTATTATCCAATAATTTACAGCAATAACTATTGTTATCAAATAATTTACAGCAAGGACTAGTTACAGCAAGGACTACTGTGACTGCAAAATTTGAAAATGCAATCTGCTATATCACAAAGAGCTCAAAATTATTATACACATGTCAATGTCATGTCATAGCGCCTGCACTGATCCTGGTTGTCAACGAGATTTTGGCAAAGAAATGGAGACCAGACATTATTCTCATGAACTTGAATGTCTTTGCAGAAAAACGAGGATTATACAGTTTGAAGCAACTCATTCCTAGAAAGTTTTTTTTTCTTGCCAGTGGCAGACT